ACTCGAAAACGTCGAGGCCGCACACACCAAGAGGAGGTGTCAACTTCACAAAACGCTGAGGAGCCTCAAACCAACAACGGCGACAACCCACCAGAGCCAGAATATCAGACTCAATAATTTTGTCTAATTCCTGTCTTGTCATGTCCCGTCAATATAAATTATTTTTTCTCCATGCTTTCAACAATTCATTTGGGTAAAAGATTTTATTTTAGAAAAGCGTTAGGATTATAGGCTAAGGTTTATGATGTTTAGTCATGAAATCAGTAGACATAATTTTTTTATACCGTTTTAAAAATACCAAAACCATAGGCCTAGTCTTAAAAAACCGAGTCACTACTACTGTTATCAGGCCTTATCAGTAGCCTGGTCCGTGTCAGTTGAAACATTTAATCAGTTTGTGGACTCTGTCAACTTAGCTCGTTTGACTAACGATTAGTAGAAAAATTCCCCCAAAACTGGGACTTAAGGACTTGACGCATATGAAAAAGTTGAAACTACGATGTACGCTTTTGACTATGCAACAATACAATACAATACAATACAAACAACCAATGTACAACAAATCATCTAGCTCCAAAAGGATAACAAGAGACAATATACAGCATTTATGTTTGGTAAAATATCTTAGTAACCAGCAGTAGCAAGATAACAATGTTGAATGTCAAATTGATTTTTCTTTGAGCTAAATTGAGTCAGAACATTTATTTAATGTTTAAAGGATTTTTTTTTAATTTCAATTTTTTTCCTTATAATAACCCCCTGATTCTTGGTACCGGTACCAACAAGTTGGTTCGCTAACATACAAATGAATGTTAGTTTAACTTTTAATATAATAAAAAAAAAAAATGTGTATGCGGACAAGACACATTAACACAACTTTCCAAAATGTGCTTTCTTAAGGTTTCTGGAGAACCTAAATTGAAAAATTATATTCGTTCCGGACAAACTATAGGTCTTGCCACCTAAATGGAATTTACCTAGAGCAGAGTTCACAATTTAATTAATTTATTTAAAGCAAAAGTCCAAACAATATCACTTTGTTTGAAAACTGCAGACATAAAAAGGAAAGAAAATATAAAAAAAAACTTAAGAAAACAAAATAGTAAGTTAGATTACATGATTAAACATTTCATGGTAATTAGAAACCTTACATCATTCCTACATCAATGTACCAAATTGTCAAAAAATATAAAAATCACATCAGGCTACATATTTCAATTGAGAATGCAGTACTAGAAGGTGGCATGGTGTATGAGGCAACTGTGATATGTGAATTCAGTTGCATCTTGTATGAATGGAAGGCTAAAACAGGAAACACTATAGGCTATGACCATGAGAGTCGTGTGATTTCAGTTACAATAGCCAAGGTCACATCTGCGTTGCCATGGTGCCTGGCACGAGGCTGTCACCCATGATAAATATGTTACAGAGAAAATCACTTAATCCACATACGTACTTAATATCTGCATTTTGATAAAATCATATAAGCCTACAAAATTCAACAAAACATTTGAAATTTCTTAAATTTTGCAATGACTAAGTATGGTAAATGGATTATTAATTATTTGTATTTTGAGTACAAGAGTATTTTGTAATTAATTTCTAGACAGATTAATTTCAACATGAGTGATTTGTACTAGTCTTATATTGCACACAGTTAAGTAAACCAGCACACGTAAAAGTTATAGAAACATTGACAAGATTAAGGCTACCTACGATACAAGATGGATTCAAATAGCCTTATAGGTTTACGCAGGCTTACCAAAAAGAAAGAAACGAAAGCAGGGTTTTGGCATAAAGAGCCTTAACATTGACCACTTAGTGAGCATTCTGGTGGTAAAATAATTTATTAAAAAGAACTTTGCCCACTGTTAGCTAAAGGACTATGCCTACGTGTTAGTGTTAGATAAAGGCTAACACAAATTTTGTAAAAGAAAATTCAAGAGTTGACTAAAATAAAAATTTTGGGAATAAACATAACTCGGGAATTTTTTTAATTAATGAGGAGGTTTTGAAAGCATTGAGCGCTGTAGTGTTACTGGTTTTAAGTTTCAGCATTAGATAATAAAACGCCTAACAAAAATTTCAGTCAAAACAGAGAGGTTAGGCCATAAGGTTCAAACTGTTTAAAATGATTCTCTGATGATTGGATTGACCCACTTAGCCTTTGAAATGTGAATTAAAGTAAATCATTTTTCACACTCCAACTGACTGGCAACATCCATGTAGGTATGATATAAAAAACATGAAGGTAGGCTATACTTATATCCAAATTTGAAAACAAACCAATTCTACACTCATCCTTCACTCAAATTCAGTAAAAACACAAGCAAGTTAGTTTGCAATCATTTGATAGTAAATACCCCTGCAGCAGCAAACCTGCTGACTAAGCAAATTTCCATTGGTCTGAATTGATTTGCAATCAAAACTATTTAAATAACATTAGGTTTAACAAGTACCTAGGTTTGCTGCTACAAGGAAATTAATAAAGTGTGTTTTTAGTAAAATATTAATTTAGCTTAGTATAAAATAGCTAAATAAATTTGCCAAATTTGATCCAAATATATCAATAAACAAGCAAACAACCGGTACCTACAATGTTTTACAATAATCTCCATAAGAATAATAACATGGAAATCTTAAATTTACTAAATTATTGTTTTTTTTTTTTAAGCTCTTTAATAAGGTTTAGAGAGAAATTGGGAAATTTTGTGTTTTGAGGGTCAAAAAATGAGAAAAACCATTCCATAAATTTAAAAACAAAACCAAAATTAAATTTGAAATCCAAACAATGAATTTATTTTTTTCCTATTTGAATAACTTAAGTTAACAGGTCAAAATTTAAGTGTTACAAAAAGTAGGCTAAGTTATTCACAAAGCGTTGGGGGCCTTGCCTACTTCTTAAACATAAGTTAGGTACAAACATTGGCCACAAAATTGTCTATTAATCTCAAATATAAATACAATAGAACCTCGTTAACTTTGGACACATCCCGAGATGACTTTTTATGTCAGCAGCAGCCGATGACAGTTTCACTGAGGTCAAAAACTAGAGCCTTCTCATTGTTTTTGTGCACGCAAAAAACTCCATGCTTAACCAGCCAATTGATTTACATAAGTTTATCCAAAGTGAATAGCAGATGAATATTACGAACTATTTCATAGTAAGAAGCCAAAGAATGTACAATAGAGATCTAAGTTGAGAAGTTAAGTTACTTTAGTTTATTTTAGTTCAATATCCATTAACACAAATTTGTTTTTCTAACTTGTGTTTATAATACCCTACTCCCTAGTCCATAACCTAGTCCCTTTAGTTTGACATTTTGATAGAGCCCAAGTCCTAGTTTAGTCCCCTTAGTCCACAAAGTTTCAAACTATTGAGGGTATAATATAGTGTAAAACCCTGGCTATCCTCAATCAGGTTAACCGGAACCAGGGTCACTTGAAACGATTGCACGAATAATTATGGATAAGTACTCGTAACAACAAAACTGCACCGCATTTTTGTTTCCAAGGGAAGAAAAAATGTTTACAGCACCCATTGAAGTGGCAAGAAGAGTAATATAAATCCTTGAGACGATTTACTTTCCCCACCCTCTCTCCACTCACCCACCTGGTGTTTTTACATAGGCAGAGGATTCAAAGTTACGTGGATTAGGCGTCCTACAGTTATTGTCATAACCAAACCTAACTAAATTAGGCAAACTTGCTGAAGGTGAAAAAAAATCAAATGACCGTTAAATTCTGTTCATAAAATAAAATTAAAACATACCGGTACCTACCTCAAATTCTAACAAAAGATGTACAATACTTATGAATAATTTGCATTCTAACTTAACCCTTACCGCGCACGTGATGGAAAATCACAATAACAACGTTCCCCGCCCTCTGATTGTTCAAAATGGCGGCGCCCTACACTTGCTGGTCTCTGCTATGAGAGACGCCAGCGATGTGGACGAACTAACTCGCAGACTCCACAGAAAACTTCGTTCTCTACTACGTTCGCTATTATAGGCCTATTGGCTTATTACGTTGGTTATATTACTATAGGCCTAATTCTAAAAAAAATATTCAGCTTTGACTTTTGGGAAAATATATTTTTTAGGTATATTTAGCGTTAGAGTCAAGGCCACCCGACATATCTGTAGCGTGGTAAGGGTTGAGCAAAATTTAAATCTTTGACGAAAAGTTAATGTCACCCCGGAAGGGTTCTATCTGCATGTACCACTTGCACATCACCCGAGTAATCTATCCACTATAGACCACGAAGACCGATGGCTACACATTGTATCGTTGCGGTAATGGTGTTCCGGGTCCCCACAACCCGGTAACATCACTGCTAGACGCCTAATTCATGCCCAGTTACCGGACGCGTATCCTCTGCGTTTTACAAAATGTAGGCTACGGTACTGTAAAAATGTGTGCCTAAGTTAGTTGAGTGATCTCTTACAGGGCTGGATGGTTTTCTTGGCCTGTTGATTTAATTCCTCATAGGCCCAGCCTATGCCATGCTTTTGAAAGATAGGCTACCTTACCCACCCTATAACCAGGGAATAAGTTAACTTATGGCATAAAGTGTCACTTCTGGATAAGACCAAATTATGTACCATAGGCTGGGCCTATCCTACGAGATTTTATTAGGTCCACTACCACTCAAATGAGCTCATAAGGTATAACTTAAGTTTTTGACTCTTCATAATTCCCATTTAATTCTTAGACGTAACTCAAGCCTACAACATTGTATTGACCTACTTGTTCAATTTCGCAAAAGGGAGGGCCTAACCCTACTGAGACACCCCACCTAACTTAGCGGCGAAAATCGTAAGAATTGTCATTTACATCATTAGAAAATAGAAAGAATAAATGTTGAAGATAACGAAATCGAATTCCTGGTTACAGGAACTAACCAGAAACGCTCATTTCCAAACCCTGCAGGAACAATCTTATATTCATTTCCAGTGATCAATAATCGTAGCAGAAGGGACGATAAAGTTACTTACCGCTGAAAATAATTGCTGACGCTGCTCCCATAACTCCAAAAAAGGGTGTGTATTCAGGTGTGTCTGCCATTTTCACTATTTCGCGAGTATTTACAGGTTCGGAGGACTCTGTAGAACTATTCTACACTAAAGTTCGCGGAACAAAGTAATCAGCCCACTGTCAAATATGGCCTAAAGTGATCGTCGGTCATGTGATGAGTAAAGATTTTCAATCCCTTCCTCGGTTTTTGGCGTAATTCTATTGGTTGAACAATGCACAGCAAGGTAAAAAGGACGAATCACAACAGAGTTTACAAACAGTGCTTCGTGACGTCAGGGTTTATGATTGGCCAAGAAAGTGCAAGGCCTTTAAATATAAAGTTGAGGTTCGTTACAGATTTAGCGTACTATATACAATAAATTATTCCAAACGACACAATAGTTGTGTCAACAAATATTATTAAATTATTGTTATTATTATAAATTAAAATTATAATTGCACTATTTTTATTTCATACTTTGTTCACCCTTCATCTCACATTTACGAGATAAAAATGTTTATATTATTGTTAATGTAGCGAACCCACATTAGCCAATTAAGAAGATGTTGGATATTGAATGATAAATATATAAAAGTCTTCTGCTGTATTTTACTTTAAGTTAAATATCATATTTAACAATTTAAATAGGGATAGTAATTAATCGTTTCAAGAGTCAGTAATGCTTCGATATTTTTTAGAGAGCTAATCTCTCTTATACGATTAAATAAATGTTCATAAAATTATTTTAGGCATTCATAGCTATTTAATTTAATTTCAAAGAACGAGCATTGTCAATAATAAACTTATGGAATAAACAAACTTTATTACCAACTGTTGATTATAATTTTAAGTTATTAATAACTAGCTGTAACCCGCGGGCTTTGCCCCGTTTAACTTCTTAATTTTCAAGATTATCTCGTTCGCATGGCTCAATCACGTCCTGGTTGAAGTTTGTTCGCTACGCTCACTCACCTTTAGGTTGGAGCTCGTTCGCTGCGCTCACTTGCCTTCAGGTTAGCTCGTTCGCTACGCTAACTCGCCTCCAAGTTGAAGTTCGTTCGCTACGCTCACTCACTTTTTGGTTGCAAATTAGCTGTTGTCATAAATGTAAAAGAAATAATAGTGCTGCACCCTGTTGGTAATCCTTGTAACTTTAATGCTATTGAACATCATGTTTTATCTATGACATCATAGAACAGAACCAACTTGTTTAATTGAAACAGCTGTTAAGATTCAATAATTCCATTTCTCATAAGGTTAACATGGGAAACTCCAGAGCCACTGGGGCGGAGCCCGAAAGGATTTCTGAAATAAGAATATGCCTATATGTTAATCGGGAATGTGAGCTATCATCATGCCAAATTTCAGCCCAATCCGACCAGTATTTTTCGCGTTCACTTGTCACAAACATACATCCATACATACGTCCAAACTTTCTCATTTATAATATTAGTAGAATATCTCATATGATAAGGGTCACAACAAGCGCATAAGTTAAAGGAGCATAATTAGCCAAAGCTAGCCGCTGTCATTGGGTTTCTGTTTAATTGTCGTAATATTTCAGTATTTTCCTGTTTAATTTAATTAGCATGTAATCATGGATTAAATATACTCCAGAGATATACGAAGGTTCATAATCCTAATCCACATAAATTACCTGAAAATTGCTGAATTGTTTCATTTAAAAAGGTTTTTTATCCCACATTAATTTAATTTATATTTGGTCTAAAATCTACGTCCATTCGCCGTTCTATAAAAATTTCATAGCAGATTTTACAAAACTACATGGTTAAAAGGCAACTCCTTAAACGGCAAAACAGACAAGAGTAGCTACTAGCTAGGTAGCTAAAAAAACTTTGAGGTTATGGTCATGTGTGAGTGTGAAATCAGTGTAATCAAGTGATGTTATGTTGTTTTGAATCTTTAAATTTTTATTCTCAACTTAAATAAATATATCATCCTGGATGCTCAGAATTACACGATCTAAATACTTTGCAATGATTCGTTTTATTATTAGTGTTTAGCTATACAATCATAGCTTCTAGTGTTTAGCAAATCAAAATGAAGTTTTCTTACAAGGTAGGTTTCTCACAATTTGGAGACATAACAATATTATGTCAATCATATCCATGAATGTTGCATTATCAATATTATAGTGACATTCTCATAAATTAACTCTACTACTAAAATAAATTAATCGGCTGCACTTTACTTTGGGTCCTACACTCATTCGAATGAAAATAACGATCGATATATCGATTGTTCGATATATTGTTTGGTTAGTTAGGTAAGGTTAACCTAACCTAACTAACCAAACGATATATCGAATGAAACAATCGAAAAATCGTGTAGGACCTAAAGTAAAGTGCAGCCCGATTGCCTTACCGGTTATCGGAAGTGCCCATAAGCACTTAGTTTTGTGGGTGCGGTACATGTCAAATTTTAAATAACAAAATGGCTGTTTCTTTTAGATATAGTAACTCTTACTTAATTTAATTAGCCTACTTTGCCAGTTTGTGCCGGCGGACAATTTCTTGTCGAGAAATTTCACTCAATAAACTTCCTAATTGCTAAGAGAATGAGGCAGTGAATGTCTTTATATTATAGTCCTTTTGTATACTAACTGAGTACCTATATAAAACTTTACTTCTCTCAGAGCTATCTGTGGTGGTCAAGTAGCAGCAATATCAAACCCAAACTCCGTATTGTCACTGAGTTTTTGTTGTTTCAGTTCTCAAACTTATTGGGGACAGTTTACAGAAAAGGAAATCTCCTTTTTACACCAGACGGGAATTCCGTTATAAGTCCAGTGGGCAACAGGATTTCCATCCATGACCTTAAAAAGTAAGTTTTATTACTGATATGTGTGCCTCTCAGTTCAAAATTACAATTTGTCATAAACTTAATCTATTCTATGAAGCACTTCCTAGGGATTTGACCTACACATTTTATTTATGAAGAGATAAATACCTACATGACTGTGAATAAAATATTTATCAAGTTATATTTAAACATTAAAACCTTCTGGTTGCCAGTGATGGGTACCCTACAAAATCCCATTCGGGCAACACAACTGAAATATCCAATTAACATTGAAATTGAAGTTGGACGGTTTATGTACCTATTTCTTTAAATATGTACCTATATAAATTATGTCCCATGTTCTTACCAAAACTTCACTTCAATTTCAGCAACAAGTCGTCCACTCTTGCTGTCGAGAGCAAATACGACTTTGCAGCGCTAGACATCTCTCCGAATGGCAGCACCCTGATTGCCATCAATGAACGTAAGTTTTAACCTTAGGGAGTTTAAATATAAAACAAATTATTGTTGCGTGTTTGTGTATAAATTATTTTTGGATGTTGAAATGCATAATTGAAGGGTTTCAGCATTTTAGTTTTTAGTTTTTTTCTCATTATAGGAGATCATTAAGTACCGTAGTCAAATTCAAAATCCAAAACATTTTAAGACGTTGCTTCAAGATGTATTTGTAAATTATAATCATGTGTTTTTTTACCAGAGGGAGACGCCCACCTGATCAGTTTACTGAGTCGAGTTGTCGTTCACCAGTACAAGTTTAACCACTCGGTCACATGCATCAAGTTCAGTCCCGACGGAAGTCGATTTGCCGTCTGCAAGCAGAACAATGGTAAGGTTTCATTAGACTTTTGTCTAATATTGAGTGTTTCAAAAATCTGGTCTTAACATTTTTATATTTCTTTACACTTTTCACTAGAATAATAAGCAAATAACTTTTAAACATGTGATTACGGTAAATGGTTACTGATGATCATGAATATGAAAGTTACTAATCAGTTCTGATTGTGTGGCAGTTTTCATTTTCAAGGCTCCGGGGCAGTTCGCTGGTCAGTTCAACCAGTTTGTGTTGGAACGAGTTTACCACAATGCGTATGACGAGACGACGTGTGTCGACTGGGCTTCTGACTCGAGGTTAGTCTTCATTTCGTTGAAGATTCTCAATCAGAAAACACCAATGTAGGCCTAAATGTTTTATTGTGCTTGGTAGCTGAGTGTTCATAGTGCTTGCCTTGTGAAGGTCGCCGGTTCGATTCCAAGCGAGATCGTAACTGGACCTAGATGTTGTTTGTGATTGGGCCATCAATTAGGAATCTATTTAACAAAATGTCAATGCTAGATAGTAATGAGACCAGGGTTTTGACTGTATCCTTACATAACATAAAAAGATTTCACTGGCATCCATATATTCAATGTACATAAAATTAAGATAGTTACTAGCAATAGGTATTATAGACTAATTATTATTTTTTACTGTTGTATCTATTTTACTCTTATTACTTGTAAGAGTATTACGGGTAATTAATACCCGAAGACAAGACATTTTTCAATACCCCACTCATAATTTAAAAAAATATTAAACAAGTCCTCTCTATATGGGGTTAAAAATTTACAATAAAATTCCAAACTCCTTAAAGCAATTAAACTTGGCAAAATTTACAGACAAAATCAAAACAGTTTTAGTAGAAAAAGCATATTACACTCTTGAGGAATTTTTCAACGACTCCTGGTAACAGACACCCATTCTCTCATCAACCTCTCCTAACATAAACAGTTCCACCATGCTGTAGCTTTGTAGGGGTAACTTACTGGCTAAATCCTAGGTTTTTTATATACCTATTTAGATTTCCTTATTTATTAGAAACCTTGACAATGTAGCCTACCTGTCTGTGTATTACATTTGTAATAACTTTAACAGATGTTATGTGCAATAAAGAATTGTCATTTGTCATTTGTCACTTGTTACTCTATTTTACTTATTTTTTATGGTTTTTTAGAAACTTCGCAAGTTATCGTAGCATTCTAAGTTGGCAACCCTTGCTGTGTATTTCAGAGTACTAGCTGTCGGCTGTAAGGACACTTCCACAAGATTATACTGCCTGGACAGGCTCGCCAACTTCCGCCCCATTACACTCGGTTCCCAGAACGACGTTATTGTAGCCGTATTCTTCGAAGAGAACTCTCTTGATGTGACTACAATTGCAAGGTTTGTAAAGAGTATTGTATCAGTAAGATTGAGGCTTTAAATGGTTTTGTCAGTTAAATATTAAAATGGCGTTATGATTCTGAAAGAAAAACCATAAAATTTTTTAAGTTTTGTTACAAAACCCTTTGACAAACTATAATTATTGTGTTTTGACAGAAACGGGAGGTTATGTGTTTGGGAGAGCAGCTTGGAACTGAGCGAGCTGGAACCTTACGATGAGCCGGAGGAGAAGAAAAAGAAGGCAGGAGAAAACGAAGAAGCGGACGACGATGTGGATCTTAGCAAAGGAGAAGAGAGGACGGAGGCTTTGACTGTAGAGGAAAAAGGTAAATCATTTTCCCTATTGAATTCTATTACAGTAGACTCCCTCTTATCCGGACTCCTTGGGATCGAGGCCAGTCCGTATAACAGTTTTTCAGATAAAACCAACGTCCCCAAAAACTCGCTAAAACGGACAATTTACTGTGATATTCAACTTAAATTTAGGAGAGCATTGTATTTAGACACGTGATCCCTGGTCTCAATTCGTTCCCACGAGAATAGTCGTTTCAGTACCGCCCACTTCCTGCCGATCTAGTTCGGTTAAACCAATGTGCTGATAAAAATTGTCCGGTTAAAGAGATGTCATTTCATTTCCGCCAAATGTAGTCCGGTTAAACCAATGTCCGGTTAAAAGGTGTCTGGATAAGAGGGAGTCTACTGTACATCCAAGAAATCAAATGTTTTAATGTTTATATGTAATTTCCTAAGTTCATCCTATAGTTTTTTTAAGCGTCAGGATTTTGAAATGATCATCAAGATAAAGATTACCTACATTTGTTTAATTAATGTAGATTATGTGTGAACACCTATCAAAATAATAGTTTTGATTTAGTAGGGTATTATTGTTAGAAACTATAGTTTAGAAAACTATAGTAGTAACTATAGTCCTTAATGTAAATTTAAATGTAAAATGTATCAAATCACAATGTAATCACTTGTAGCCTACTTATTTTTGCTTTGCGGTTTTTAAATGTTCACAGAAGAGCAAGAAGATGAAGCAAGCGTAAAGAAGAGCGATGCGCCTAAACTGTCGTACAAGCTGTTGACGCGACACTACCTCCGAGACCAAGTGGCGGGCGAGAGGGTGACGGTGACAGCTGCGGCTTACCACCGAGTGACGCATGTGCTAGTGACGGGCTTCAGCAACGGAACATTCCTCATACACGAACTGCCTGACGTCACGCTCATACATTCTCTCAGGTAAGTTATGGGCTTGTCAATAAATACAAAACATGGAGTAAACCGAAGGACAAAAAGAAAGTATATATTAACATTGTTTGTAATGCAACGCCTACTGTTCTGATGTTAAATCACCATGAGAAAAGTTGATTTGTATTCTTATGTTTTAGGCTACTGTAAAAAAACTATTGGCAGATTTGTTTGTTACAAACCCCCAAAAAAATGTGTACAGTAGACTCCCTCTTATCTGGACACCTATTAACCAGACTACACTTGGTGGAAATGACATCTCTTTAACCGGACAATTTTTATCAGCACAATGGTTTAACCGGACTAGATTGGCAGGAAGCTGGTGGTACTGAAACAAGTGTTCTCGTGGGAAAGATTTGAGACCAGTGATCACGTGTCTAAATACAATGCTCTCCTAAATTTAAGTCGAATATCACAGTAAACGGTCATTTTTAACGAGTTTTTGGGGACATCGGTTTAATCGGAAAAACTTTTATATCCGGACTGGCCTCTGTCCTGAGGAGATAAGAGGGAGTCTACTGTAGGCAGAAGTCAAAAGTTATAAGTTCAGTGTGTTGTTTCACCTTTTACTTCCTCCTTAAAACATAGATAGATTCACGACCAATCCAATTTTTGGTTATCCGACCTTTTGAATTTTAAATCCTTTCTGCAAAAAATCAAGTACTATAAAATAGTGCGCTATTCCTTTTTCTTGTGACTGTAATTTGTATTAGGTATGCAATTCAGGTGAAATATGTGGGACTACTGTATTAAGAAACACCTTTATGGATTTCAAAATCGCATGGAAGTCCTTGATCACTGATTTTCCTTTTGTTGTACTAATATAAGTTTTCAACAGTATCTCAGAGCACTCAATCAGTTCGCTGGCGCTCAACAACATTGGGGACTGGGTGGCCGTCGGGAGTCGAGCGCAAGGCCAGCTGTTGGTCTGGGAATGGCAGAGCGAGACTTATGTGATGAAGCAGCAAGGTCACGCGCAGGCCATGACGTGTCTCTCGTACTCACCCAACGCGCAGTATATTGTCACCGGCGGCGAGGACGGAAAGGTACTTGTGTTTGAGTCTAAAGTTTGTATGACTAGCTCGCTTTCCCCATCTAGTTTAACTCTGTGATTTAAACTTTAGCTTAACCCTAGACTATTCTGAAAATACCTTTTTGATTTAAACTAGGTTTAAGGTACTTTAAGGTAACTTTTGTCTTTGAGTCAAAAGTTTGTACGACTATGTCTCGCTTTCCCCAAATCTAGTTTAACTCTAGATTCTCCTGAAAATACTTTCTTGGTTTAAGCTAGGTTTTAGTTAAACCTCCAAGTGAGGTGATTTAACTGGTGGGCCAAACCGGAAGAGAGGGATGGTTATTTGATTTTAAAATGGCTGGCTCTTGTAATTCTTGTTTGGACATAACTTTTTTGTCTACGCTTGTGGCATTTTTCAAAGAAATATATAGGAGATACACAAACACTTTTTTAAGAAAGCGGTCCAAAACCATATGATTTGTGGGTGGCAGGGAATCGAACCGGTCCCTCTTGCACCACAGTTCGAGATGCTAACTAGGCTAGCAACACACCCAACTTAAAATATATTTTTGAAAAATTACTGGAAAGAAATAATTATCTGTCTACTAGGGTGGCAAAAAAAGTACCAGGACAGTAAATATCAATGCTTATAACAATATTTCATAACAATGAGTTCTATATTTCTTCTCATTGTGTGAATAAAATGAAAAGCCAACATTGATATAAAGAAAACGTAACATTTGAGATGCAAGACGAATACCAATAACACTATTTACAGGTGAAGCTGTGGAACACCCAGTCCGGTTTCTGTTTCGTCACGTTCCACGAACACACGTCGAGTGTCACAGCCGTCAAGTTTGCCAACAACGGAAAGTTTCTTGTGTCCACCTCCCTGGACGGAACTGTCCGAGCGTTTGACATGACCAGGTTTGTGATCAATTTGTCTATATAATTTTGTTTGAGTTGGCAGTCAGAAAAACTAACTCTGTCTGTTTGTTGGAATTCAGACCTCATGCCTTCTATCAGTTACTGATAGACACACTGAATTACAATGTGCGGCGTTTTCAAGGTTACCCTACTTTCCTCACGTAAATCTTGTGAACTTTTGCATCCTATAAATAGCATAAAATCCATAAGTAATTTTTCTGACCACCTGATCAACATGAACATGACTAAATTTGGTCCACATTTAATGCTTCTGCATGTTCAAGTAAAGCCCAAACTCTGCATCTTAAGCCTTAAATGTTGTTTCTCCGCAGGTACCGCAACTATCGCACTTTGACGTCTCCTCGTCCTGTTCAGTTCTGCAGTCTGGCCTTGGACCACGCCGGGGAGTTTGTCGCCGCAGGAGGCCAAGATGTGTTCGACATCTTCCTCTGGTCTATGACACTCGGTCGTCTCCTAGAGGTTAGTATCATTTTGATTATAAGGTTTGTAACATAGAGCACAAGGACCTATTTGTATTACCTTTGGTTAGGCCTCCCAATTAGTTACGGCTTCTCTTTATTGAGTTGGTAATGTTTAAACCGCATGTTGTAGGTACTAAGTGGTCATCAAGGTCCCGTGGTAGGACTACAATTCAACCCATCCACTTCCAGCACGGCCCTCGCTTCAGTCAGTTGGGACAAATCTCTAAGGCTGTGGAATGCTGTAGAGTCCAACGGACAGTATGAGAGTGTTCTGCTCAACTTTGACGGTGAGTTCAGTAAGCCTATCTGAGTCGCAGATGGTAAATGACATATGAAATCTTGATTACTCAATTCATACCACTGTAGTAAAACTTTTTCTTTTTGGTGAGTCACCGGCTCGGTAGGACCACAAACTTTGGGCCCAAGGCAGTATGGGTTTGGATCCTGTTATCTGGACTTTAAGCTTTTAAGTGGTTTTCTCAAAATTGCTGTGTAAATAAAGACAGTTTTTTCGTGTTTTTGTGTAGTATAGTCGTAAAGCGTTTGGTATTGGTTTTTTTTTCAAAGTGTTGCTTTTTAAAGTGGGACCATTTAAATGCCTACAATTGTTAAGGTAAGCCAGCTTATCCTGTCCTTTGTCTCCTTGATTCTCAGATAAAAAGTTCTTTCAAATCAAAACCTCAGGTAAGCTAACTGAACTCTATTCCTTTTCAAAAAATCTAAAACATTTATAAAATACTTTTTGACGTACAAATATAAATAGACTGTCTTCACAGTAGGTTGAAGAGTTGGGTTATGTAGCATTTATAAGTGTTAACCCCTTCGCTTACAACGACGGCGATCCGCCGTCGCGCTCCCGTTAGCCATTGTGTGAAGCGACGGCGAATCGCCGTCCGCTATTAAAACCTGTTTGTGCCGAGTTAGTTCCCCAGAAATCCAATAGATCGCATATGCTTCTTGTTCTATGATTTCCAGGCTTTCTTTTGGTTATATTTTCGTCATCTCAGTCCAGTCCAATCGGCAAAAAAACTGAAGTTGAAATGGTGCAACTTAGCAGCTGACGACGTCTACACTGGTTTCACAGCTGATACGTTGTTGTGTTTACTTCGACGATGTAAACATTGTGTTAGAGCCTTGTTTTACTTTATTATTTTATTGAAAAGTGTAGTTATCTTATAAAATAAGTTATAGAATTTACTTTGTGTAAGTTTTTATCAGTATTTTACTTTTTCGTCGTTATAATGACTGAGTTATTAGGCCTATCATGTCGTGTTTCACTTCGTCGTGATAAAGATTGAGCTACGGTATCTTGTTTTACTATATTATTCAATTGAAAAGCTTTTGTATAATACGATGAGTCTTCAAAATAACTTGGTATTCGTGGATGAATGTGGAAAAGAGTTAGATGAAAGTGACATTATAAAACTTATAGGGGATTGTGACAGTGACAGTGATTGTGACTTGTTTGAGGAGAGTGGTTGGAGTGATGATGATGATTTGGAAGGGAGCAGAATTCAAGTGAGTAATAAGTCTAATACGCCTATTGATTATGAGACCACAGTTTCCCCAGACCATAATACTAATTGTGTTAGGCCTAATCCTTTAGAAAGTGACCAGTTGTTGCTTGAACAGCCTTCTTGCAGCTATGCTAGGCCTATGACCCCTCCAGATGCCCTTACTGTCCAATATAATTCAGATTTGTCTAGTAGGCCTGAAATATTTGATCAGCATGTATCTTCTCCATCATGTGATGAAGAATTGCCTAAATCAGTCCAGTTTCTTGATCGGTTATACCGCGGTAGTATGAGCGCGCCTTCTCTCTCGCCTACACCGAGTGAGGAAGCTGACGACCCTGGTTTCCCTGACTCTAGGCCTATAAATGATATAGATAGTGGCAGGCATAGGCCTATGACCCCTCCAAATGTCCAATCTGATTTAGATTTGCCTATTAGGCCTGAATTATTTGACCAGCTTGCATCTTCAATCGTGCCTGCCCTCTCACCTACACCGAGTGAGGAAGCTGACGACCCTAGCTTTCCTGACCCTAGGCCTAAAAGTAAACCTGTTAGGGGCAGGTCTAGAGGAAGAGGTAGGCCTATAGGAAAAAAAGCTATTTCACAACCATCTAAGCCTACTAAAAGGTCCAAAACTCAAACTAGTAACGATACAGCTCCACCAAAAAAGAAGAAAAAGGAGGGTTGGCAGTGGACCAGTACCATAGAAAGTAATATAATAAATAAAATCCCTTTTACTGGTTGTCCTGGTGTTAGAGCAAGTTTGGCTAGAAGTTTAGGCTCAGCTCCCTCTGAATTAGATGTTTTCAATGCGTTTCTTGATAATGACTTTTGGCAACATGTTGCCACAGAGACTAATAATTATGCCAAAGAAACAATTAAGAAAAAGAACGAAGCAGGCGGGGTAGGAAAAACTATATACTCAGAATGGTTTGACACAACTGCAGATGAGATGGCTTGTTTTTATACACTGTGTGTCCTTATGTCGCTTGTAAAAAAAAGAACCATACAATCATACTGGTCGCCTAATGCTGTAACTGAGACCCCTTTTTTTCGTAAAGTGATGCCATTCCGCCGTTTTTTGCTACTGTCCACATTTTTCCACCTTACAGACAATAATAGGAAACCTGTGAATGATAAACTGTGGAAGTTAAGGTATGTTATTGAGTACATGAACAGGAAGTTTTCCCATCTGTACATACCTGATGAAAACATAGCTGTCGATGAGAGTCTTATGAAGTTCCGAGGGAGGTTGGGCTATGTTCAATTTAATCCTAAGAAGAGAGCCAGATTTGGCATAAAGTTTTACAAGTGTTGTGAATCTGGAAGTGGTTATTGTTCTAAATTTAAGATCTATACTGGAGCTGAAGTCAAAGAAAATGTACCGGTTGAAGAAGGAAGTGGGGATTCTACACAGGAGGAAAAGCTGTTAACGAGTGAGGCGATAGTCGTTGAAATGACAAAAGATTTGGCAGGAAAAGGACATACTCTGACAATTGATAATTGGTATTCCTCACCTCTTCTCTTCTATAGACTTAAGCAAATAGGTTTCAATGTAATTGGAACAGCTAACTGGTGGAGATCAAACATGCCAGAGAGCTTCAAAGAGGGTAAACTTAAGTTGGGCGACTACGAGACAGCCTATAGCCACAATATGTTAGCAGTAAGGTGGCAGGACAAGAAGCAAGTTTGCATTTTGTCTACCTTTCATCAAAAAGCTGACAAAAGATCAACTGGCAAGAAAGACAGAGTTACCCAAGAAATTATAACAAAGCCAGAACCAGTGATCTACTATAATCGTTCAATGGGTGGAATTGACCGCGAGGATCAGCAATTAGCGTCGTTTCCTAGTATGAGGAGGTATGCTAAGGGATACAAGAAGATCTTCTTTTACATAATGGACATTGGCCTTTTTAACTCTTATGTAGTGTTCAAAAAATTAACCAGAAAAAAATTGGGGTTTAGTGAGTTCAAGGAGAGGTTTGTCAAGCAAATGTTTGAGTCGCGACAACTGCCACCGTACAATCGAAGAGGACGATCATCCAACTCAGAAACACCTCTGAGGCTCCAGGCAGCAACTTGGGGACATTTTCCTAGGCCTATTCCTCCAAATGAAGTCAAACAAACACCTTCAAGAAGATGTAAGGTGTGTAGTGCCCAGGGAAAGCGCAGTGACAGCCGATGGGAGTGTGAGCTCTGCCTTGTCGCACTTCACATGCCAGAGTGTTTCAAGGCATACCACACCAAAATGAACTTTGCTTGACATTTGGTGAGTTTTTATAAGTGTCATACAGTATTATAGACTAGTTCCAAAACATATATGAGCCCTATGTAGCTAAAAATGACCAATAAAAAAGTTTTTTTAAATTTTTTTATTTTTTTATTTTATTTTTATATGGTATAATAAAAAATTATAGTTATATTTTTTGGGGAAATATTTATATATTTTGAATCTACATTTAATTTTGAATAAGAAAATAATAATATCTTGCATATAAATAGTAAATGTTGCCTGAAAAAAAATTAAATCAGAAATGAATGAAACTAGCCACAACAAATTCGTTTGTTTTGGCCTAGGCGGGTAAAAAAAAAATCATAAGTGAATGGGTTAATGGGGTCCTGAGAAAACCGCACTGCTGGGTATTTAAGTGCAAAGTTTGCTGGATTAAAAATTGTTTGTTAAATGGTATTGAATTAGTTAAACTATCAGGAACTGAAAAGACAAAAATTAAATACTACAATTTAATTTTTTAAATTGGCAAAATTGTTTTGCAGCCACTTGTGTTGCGTACAGGCCAGACGGCAAGCAGGTCGCGGTGGCAACACTGGACGGCCGCATCTCCATGTTCGACGTACAAACGGCTCAGCAGGTTGGCAGCATCGAGGGTCGTTACGACCTCGGTAGCGGACGGTCGGACACCGACCTCATCACAGCCAAGAAGACTCTAGCTGGCAAGTGAGTGGGACTAACATTGAAATGTTTGCTTCATCTACTAACAATAGTGATTATTTTAGGTTTTGGAATAATTTATTTGTGGAATTTTTCCCTTTTTTGTAGTTGAATAGTCTAACTAAACCCAGGTCTCACTGCTATTTATCTAATTTCTAATGTCAACCATTTGTTAGTATCATTATTGATAGCCTGATGGAATTTTATCTATCTGGAAACAATCTCGCTTGGAATCAAACCAGTAACGTTGCCTCAGAGGCTAACGTAAACAAATTTTTTCAGCCAACAAAATTTGGCAAAACTAAAAACAGATTTAAGTAGTCAGATTCTTTTTGTCCCTGCAATCGTATATGTGTCTTGTTTGTTGTCAGAGCGTTCACCAGCATGTGTTATTCAGCTGACGGCCTGTATATCCTGGCTGGCGGCCAGAGTAAGAACGTCTGCATATACAACGTGGCGGAAGCCATCTTAGTGAAGAAAATTGAAATCACACAGAATCATTCCTTCGACGCCATAGAGGTAATAACTCTGTGAAAAAAATAATGATAAGAATTAGCTAAGTAGCTAAACGGTCATTTGTAGTTGTTTAGTTTAGTAATCAAAAGGACTCGCTGGTTTGATCTTAAGAAAAGTGAGAAACTTTTTGATGGTTCGAAACAAGACCCAGCTGTTCTTGATCATTGGGAATAAACAGCTGGCTTATAAACAGCTGATCTTAGTCAGTTACAAAGCTACACAGATCATTTCACTTCACTCTACACTCACTCTTCATTCATATTCACCATAGTGTGCGTTGTGGTCTTAAATAATTGAATTATAAATTCTCAAATTTTCTTACATTTATTGAGCCAAAGCACACTTAAACCCTCTTATGGTCGGCAAAAAATGCTTTTGTAAACTTTCTGGCTTAAAAATCTCTCCAACAATACTCCGTTCACAATATTTAGACAGTTTGAGGGGGAGTTCCAACCACTTTTTTCTGCTGAATGTAGCTGATTGACGTTAGACAAATCTCAGCTGTTAAGCTATGTTTTAATGGTAGGATCAAGACATGGAGGGGATAGATTTCCTTCCCTAAAACTACCTAGATTTTGTGAACGGAGTATAGTGTTTGTTTTGTACTCTATTAATATTAACTGACCTTTTTTATCAACACAGTTTTTTAAAGTAGATAATATTGTTTAGCACGTCGAGTCTTGACTCTTTTAGGAAGTACCAAATATTTTAACCCTTTTCACAATTGTCTATAAAACAATTTCAAATGTGCAGGACATCATAGATCGTCGCAAGATGACGGAGTGGGGCAACGCAGCTCTGATTGAGGAGGCGGAGGAGTTGGAAGGAGGGAACGTACATTTGCGACTGCCAGGGGTGCGGAAGGGCGACATGGCGGCACGAGGGATGAAGCCTGAGGTTAGAGTGTACCACGTGCAGTTCTCCCCTACAGGTAAACTGATTAATCATAAAGAAAACCAAGTAGTTTGCTAGAAACTTTCTGAACAGGAATCAAGTAGAAAGTAAACAGTTCACTGTTCAGATGACGTTACTAAGGTAATAGGTTACGAGGGGACCCGTGCAAAAATTATGCAGTTTAGTAGGGTTAAAAATTTTTTTCTGGGGCAAAACGAATCCATTGCAAGACCCATTTACCTTTTAAATTGCCTTGTAAAATCTGACTTTGGTTAAACATTCAACTGAAGGAACAGCTATTAAATTACAACCCACGTTATTTTAAAATGTTACAAAGAAAGTTGGTCAGAATCACTGGATCTTTGAAAATTTACTCTAGGAATAAATTAAATCCAAGTCGTCACTCCGCTTGAGCATAAGCTATCTCAATCATAAAAATCTGTCAAGTAGGACGGCTGGAAAAATATGTAAAAGGGAAAACCCTTATTGCATCAAATATAGGTTTGATTGGAAAAGCCTTATTGCCTGTGGATTTAAGCATATAGATAGATGGATTCTCAGTAATCTATTACCTATTACATTCAGGCATTGAGATAAATAGATTATAACTGCAGTCACTATTCTCTGGTTAAACATTAGAGAAAAACAAGCCACTGTTTTTGCTGGTTTGTTTTCGGTGTTTCGTGTTGTTAGGTTAGCCATGTGATCGGTTGGTGGGATGCTGTCAAATTCCAATTCATTCTAACCTAACCATGCTACCTATTTATTTGGGGTTATCCGTTATTTCAAGGACTTATATTAAAAAATTATTTTAGTTATTGCACGTTAAAACCTGTGTATTTATAGCTGTTTTGAAACATTTTACATTATAAATTGTTTTTGATAGTTAATAAATACTTACTTATTTACCTTTTTTGAAGCTATGATTAATGGTGAAATTAGTCAAGTTTCCTGGTTTGGAGGTATTGATTTAGTCTTGGGTTTACTATGGCAGTTTTATGGCATTTGATTAAAGAATGACTATCGGTTTATGATCTTGTTAAAATCGGATTGCAATCATAATGTTGACATATTTTTGTTTACTATCAACAAAACAACAGGATAACGCTGTCTTGATCTTGCCTCTAATTTGACAAGTCCCACCAACCGATCACCTGGCCAACCTAACAACACGAAACTCTGAAACAAAACCAGCAAAAACAGTGGTACATTTTTAACACAGAGTGGTTACTCCAGTTATTATTATCGCTCAGTGGATTCAGCTGACATTTAAGTAATACTATTATTTATCCTATTACGTTATGCCCTCCTCTACTGTGGGTACCTAATATGAGGGATTCTATATGGTTGCGTTGTTCAGGTCAGGCGTGGGCCGCTGTCACCACAGAAGGTCTCCTCGTCTACTCTCTAGACTCTGGAGTCGTCTTTGACCCTTTCCACCTCGACCCTGACATCACCCCAGCCTCCGTCCTGTCCCGCCTCGGCAAACAGGAGTACGGAGATGGTAAGTTTACAATACATTTTTCAGACACAGAAATGAATATAATTTTGAGTCCATTGCAATGGAAATCCACTGCAATATAGTATAATTGTTGGTCTTTATAAATATAGGCTCCTATATGATTAGAATATTTTACTTATTTTTTTAACTTAAAACACAATGTGTTTTCTAGCACTGATGATGGCATTGAGACTGAACGAGCAAAAGTACATTCAACGAGTGGTCGAGTCTATACCTCCTTCAAGCAGTGAGTGTTTACGTTTAGTTATAGTTAGATTAATACTCCATAGTTAGATTTCCATTAGTTTTCATAGAAAATCTACAAGGGTTTAGTATATTAAAAATAACTGAAATCTTTAGTCATTTGCTTGGAGTGTAAAAATATTGAAGTTTATTTTCTCATCAATCTACTTTCAGAAGAGGTCTTAGGTTGGGACAAAATATAAATGCTATGTTTTGTAAGCCTTTTATTGTATATCTATTAGTCGTTTGCACATATTTTTTTTCAGGGTAAGCTAACTCTATCTCTTAAAAGAAAATTTTAATCAGCCACTTGACTTTTACTTGTACTTGACTTTCATTCAAAATGTAAAGTTAGTAGTAGTAATATTACACCACATGGCCTGGAAGTAGGTGTGTGATAGTTCCCTCGATTTCAAACTAGTACTGTAAATAAATTCACAGATGAATCACGTACAATTTAAACGCTAAACAGCTAAATTTTACCGCACTTTAGCTGATTTTTCTGCTCTACAGCTGATTTTAGCAAACCCTTTCTCGCTTTCTGTAAACTAAGACTTTCATGTCTACAAAGAGTACAGAAATATGCGGCTTATTTTGTATAGTAGCAAAATGTATATTTATGATCTTTTTTTAGGTGGAAAGATGTAACCATTTTCATTTTGTACTACTATCGTATGAGAAATTTTTTTTCGTACTAAGATGCTAGGCACGAGCCCGGGATTGTTTTTCACATTACTTCAGGCTAGACCTAGGGATTGCGGAATTATCACTTAGGCCTAGATAAAATCCATAGGTGATTTGGCAGGATTCGAACCCAGGACCTCAGGGACCGAATTCCCTCGCTCTCCAGCTCGTTGCAACTCACACTGATTAGTAGCTGGTTCAAAATGTGTTCCTGTATGACGTTTCAGTTGAGTTGTGCGTGTCATCACTACTGCCAGTCTACGCTGAGAGACTGTTGACCTACGTGGCTGCCACACTAGAGACGACAAGACACCTAGAGTTGTACGTAGATTGGCTGCGTCAATTAGTCACACGACATCCTCGACAGCCTGTCCCCACTCTGTTGCTGGTGCATAAGAACCTAGGAACTAAATACAGCCAACTGGCTAGGCTGTAAGTTGACCATTCTTTTATTCATTGTTCAAGGAAAGGCATTAGGCCAGGATTTTGAATTGGAGAGTAAAGAGGTTAGCAGCTAGCTCACCTTAAGTACAGGTTGAAGGCTATAGAACACATGGGTCTTCCCTACAATTGACAAAGTCCCCCAGACAAGATATTGTGTGTATTATGTCTCTATTTTATGGCCTACATGTTCTTTTAAGGTTAGGTAGCTGCTATTCCCTTTATTATTTTATCAGGTTCGATCCTGTCAGGTGGTAGCTTTTAGACTTGAAAGCTACATAAAGCATCTCCATTCTATACATTCATCAATCAACCATCTTTCAACCAGATTAGAATATGCAGCTTTGTGTTCTCGATGTAATTATAAAATGGTGAAAACAGATAGGCCTAAAATCTGTCTTTATAGATTATAATTATAGACATTATAATTATAATTTCAGATGGGGACGCCACCTATGCGGGAATTTTAACCCAAATGTGAGGGATGAGTGTAGAATAACGTTTGATGAAGTGTAGCTTTGTTACTGACTAAGACCAGATGATTCATTAATCGGTTCAGGACCATTAAAATCCCAATGATCAAGGACAGCTGGGTCCAGTTTCGAACCATCAAAAAGCAACGCACTTTTCTCAGGATTCGGCGACCTTTTGATTATCAGGCGAGCACTATAACCTTGAACCTATCGCACCTTAAATCTTGAAAAAAAATTACTTGTCTTTGTAATTTAGTTAATAACTTTTAAGGTGTAACTTGTAAAGAACAAATTTTCAATTGTCTTATTATTTTTAGATGTGACTTCAACAGATACACATACCAATTCTTGAAGAAAATCGGTCCCTTGAGAACCAAACAAGCAAGATATAAGGACAATGAGGATAAGATTGAAGAAGATCTATCGTCAGATGATGAAAATGAAGAGTTCCTAATGGAGACAGATTAGAGGATTTTTTTAATTTTTGTAAATAAACTTTTATACAAATGTTTTATGGTCTTTTTGTGAGGAATTTCCTTTATTAACACTTTGAATGATTTTCTAAGTTTGAAATTTATTAAAAACTGAATAGAATGTAGATTGAACTTGGCAAAATCTATTGTTATAATACACAGTATACATGCTCAATGTCCTCACTACAAATCATCTTTAACGTTGCATTATCCATTTTTTTTGTGAGGTTACATCATTTACTGTCTTTTATAAGTTAAAGGAAAAAATCATTTCTACCAGTACCGACAAACAGTGTAAATGCAAGTGTTAGAATGACTTACTACAACTAAAAATATAGATCAAAATCTAATAATAATTACTATTATACTCACTCCTTTATAAAGTAAGCTCTTCATACTTTGTCAAAAGGCCTAACTAGAAAAATGCCCCATTACAGGTTTTAATGCACACATACAAAAGCCCCCACTTACTTTGGTGTTGTATAATACATCCATATCCCTTTTACTTTCTCCCCCTATACCATAGTATATGGAGAAAGTATTGTTTTCGTCAAAATTTTCGAGTTTGAGTTTTGAGTGGATATATTCGTTTTGGGTCCCCCTGGACCCAAAAAAGTGGTTTTCGAAGTGATGTCTGTGTGTGTGTGTGTGTGTGTGTGTCTGTGTGTCTGGATGTGTACAGAGCTAGAGACTACACCTGTGGTCCGATTTCGATGAAATTTGGTATGTAGGTTCTAATCCATGGTATCTCCAGGCGTTTTTTTCATTTTTTTGAAATTTTGATTTTTAATGGGGATTTTCCCATAAAAACCCATAAAAAACCGGAAAAATCGGATTTTCTCAAAAATGGCCCGAACGATTTTGATAACAATTTAGTATGTTGTAGCCCTTTAAATTCTGAATAAAATGGTACAAATCCCATGTCTGTAAAAATTACGGTTCAAAAGTTATGGTCAAATATGTTTTTTTCCCATAAAAACCACATAAAATAACGAAAAATAGGCTTTTAGAAAAAAATCCGGTTTTGATTTAACATAGTATCTTGTAGTCCTTAAAGTTTTGATAGTTTTTTATATTTTTTTAGAATTTTTTTTTAATGGGGATTTCCTATAAAACCCCATAAAATAACGGAAAAATAGGATTTTCCCAAAAATGGCCCGAACGATTTTGATAAAAATTTAGTATGTTGTAGCCCTTTATATTCTGAACAAAATGGTACAAATCCCATTTCTGTAAAAATTACGGTTCAAAAGTTATGGTAAATTATGTTATTTCCCCATAAAAACCCCATAAAATAACGAAAAATAGGATTTTAAACAAAAATCCGGTTTTGATTTAACATAGTATGTTATGGTCCTTACAGTTTTGATAGATCTTTTCATTTTTTAGAAATTTTTATTTTTAATGGGGATTTTCCCATAAAACCCCATAAAATAACGGAAAAATAGGATTTTCCCAAAAATGGCCAGAACGATTTTGATAAAAATTTAGTATGTTATAGTCCTTTATATTCTTTACAAAATGGTACAAATCCCATTTCTGTAAAAATTACGGTTCAAAAGTTATTGTAAATTATGTTCTTTTCCCATAAAAAAACCCATAAAATAACGGAAAATCAGATTTTCCCAAAATTGGCTCGAACGATTTTGATAAAGATTTAGTATGTTATAGTCCTTTAAATTCTGAAGAAAATTGTACAAATCCCATTTCCGTATATTCACTCTCACCGCTTACACATGATAAAGGTTGTTGACAAACTTATGGGAGAAAGTATGTGTCAGAATGCTGATACCGTTTATTTACTTTCTCCCCTATACATATGGAGAAAGTATTGTTTTCGTCAAATTTTTTTAGTTTGAGTTTTGAGTAGATATATCCATTTTGGGTCCCCCTGAACGGAAAGTGGTTTTCAAAGTGATGTCTCTGTTTGTGTGGATGTGTACAGAGCTACAAACCACACCTGTAGTTCGATATTGATGAAAATTTGGTATGTAGGTAGGTAGGTACTAATTCATGGTATCTCCAGCAATTTTTTTTTTCATTTTTTTCCAAACCCATAAAATAACGGAAAAATTGGAAATCCTCAAAAATGGCCCGACCGGTTTGATAAAAATTTAGTAGTATTAGTCCTTTAAATTCTGAACAAAATGGTACAAATCCCATTTCCGTATGGTTAAAAAGTTATTGTAACATATGCTATTTTCTCATAAAATAAAAAAATCGGATTTTAGAAAAAAAAACCAGTTTTTATTAAAATGAATGTGTTATGGTCCTTATAATTCCAAACAAAACAGTTCAACCCCATTGGTGTAACAATTACGGGTTCAAAAGCTATCATAACTTTTTTAATTTTTCTCTATAAAATATCACAGTTTATCCCACCGCTTACCCATGATAAAGGTTGTTGACAAGCTTGTGGGAGAAAGTATGTGTCAAATTGCTTATACCGTTTATTTAATTTTGTTTGTCCCACATTCACATCCTAGGACACTATAAGGTTCTAGCCCAGAACTGTTTTACACATTACTTCAGGCTAGTCCTAGAGGTTCGCAGAATTATCACATGGATAAAGATAAAATCCATTGTGATTGACTGGATTTGAACCAAGGATCTTGGCCGCTCCGAAGCCCCACGCTCTACCACTATATACCAGCTTGCTCCCCATCCATACCCCTTGGAGCCAAATGATTCAGTCCAAGGATCCTGTAGTGTGTACACAATTTTATTATTGTTCAATTTACCAATTATTTAAGCATACTAGTTACTTATTGTAAAAACTTACTCATAAGAGGACGAGAAATACATCAAAACAATTTATCGTGTGCAGGGGTGGGTTCCATAATATCGACAACCGTAGAAATTGATCGAAACTGAATTATTCCCAGTTTGTCGACACTGGAATATTCCCACTTAACCGACATCCCAAATAACCGACGTCGCAAATGATCGACACCACAAATTTTCGACATCCCATATTGTCGACAATGAAATAGTTTCACTATGTCGACACTGTAATAGTCCCAGTATATCGACAAGCACCCGTTCTTCGGAGCTACTCTTGAAAAGGAGTTGTTCTAATTCATCGTTCAGTTCCTCAACTCATGAGTCGTATCGTAATATTTGTTGATTCCGAAATCCGAATTCCGACGGACATCTTCAAGCTGGCCATTTATTGACTAAAAACTTTTATATTGTAAATAAGTTATTTATCTTTTTTATTTCTTTCCTTGTTTACAAGAAAATAGATGACTCGAGTGTTACAAACAATAGTTTGGAATAATGTGAAATAAGTTAATTTTTATAGGATAGAAAACTTGATCAACATGATAACTTATTAACATTAAGTAGTCCTACCAGACACTAACTTAGGTAAGTCACCAACAAGAACCTAAGATACCTTACAGCTTATTCGTAGGCTAATTCTGGATCATCAAGCAATATTGTAGCAAATGTTGGAATAGGCATTATCCCTAGGCTATTAGGATTGTCTCTTTTTCCCACTGACCCAGTGTCAACTTTAAGAATTTGTAAAAATATTTGGCTGCACTTTAGTTTATGTCCTACATTCATTCAAATGAAAGATATTAATACATAGGCTATTTAATATTTTGAATATTTCATTCCGTTAGGTTAGGTTTTACCCTAACATTACCCAAAATTGATCTAGGCCTAAGTTTATTGAATGAAATAATCAATATGACTGGGACGGGTGGGGTCGTCCTGTAATCCAGCTACTAGGAGGTCACGAATTGTGGATATTTATAGGCATGCACTGTGGATGCGATACTCCCTGGTGTGGATTAACGTCCGCACTAGTGAGTACTAAGACTATCCGCAGTACTATCCTGATAATTAGACCAATTCGTATATACCAAGGCAATAATGTGGTTTGGATTCCACTATAAACCGTAGGTCCCTTAGTTGCCATTAGCTGTATGGGCTAGTATTTAACAGCTGTTTTTAAGGAATGTTGGCCTTAGTCACTAACAAGACTATACAAGATCGCGCCACTCATCCTACACTCATTTCCATTCATACTTGGCTTAAAATACGGTACCTACTTTGTATGGTCGCCAAGTAATAAGAAAGAAAGTATTAAAGAAATGTATTCATTGGAATGAGTGTAGGACGTAAAATTATGTGCTGTCAAATATTGTAGAGCTGTTTGTATTTGGTGTAAGACTAAGTTAGACTTGGATTATGTAATTCATTGCTCATGACATCAATGTTAATTGTTAATTTTATAGATGATCCTGGAGCAAAGGCTGTAATTTGACCTGAACCCAAATTGGTCTCTATTTTAAATATTGTCTTGAACCAATAAGTTAAGAGGACTAACCTTTCTGGACGACATTGCCATTGACATCACTGCAGATGGGAGAGAAAGAGAGACCAGAGTTGTGGACCCTGGAGGCAATTACCATACTGCCATGATAATGTTACTTGGTCTAACCATAACTTAAGTGAGGTGAGTCAACATTCTTTCCCCTTTGTGAAAGTGCAAACTGCCTTTGCTGCACTCGAGAAACTTTCCACACTCGCCTACGGCTCGTGCGTAAACATTTCTCTTATGTGTAGCAAAGTGCCACTTCGCCCACTAGTTACCTAGTAGGTAGGTAGTAGTAGTTACCTACACAAAACTAACTATTATTAATAGTTTTATTGGAACATAAGGATAATTAATTATAGCCTAATCTTTATGCAAATTTATAGTTTTTTTATAAAAATTTAAAACTAGGCCCTACTTAAAATGTATTTGGATACATCTCGAAACATGTTGTTTGGAAATGTCTTAATTAGGCTAGAGCTTGCATTTTTGCAAATTGGGAAATAACAAATAATTAATGTTTAACACGTTCGCTACCGAGCGACGCACATATGCGTTGGTCCGGTCACTCCTACAGACCAAAAGGAATGATCATGACGTTGCTTACAGACCAAGTGATATAGGAATAACATTGCCAACAGACCAAAAGAGAAATATCGTTTAGATGGACAAATTTACTTCATATTAACCTTAAGTGAATTAGTAAGCCAA